GGGCAGGTTGAAGGGAGGTGGCCTGCCTGATGTTGGGGGCAGGTTGAAGGGAGGTGGCCTGCCTGATGTTGGGGGGGGGTTAGCTGGCTTGAGCTTAGCTACCTGTTGCTACCTGCTACAAAACAGGAAGTGACAATAACTCATGTCTGAAAGGTCAGATTTTAGCCAAACTTGTAAGGCTTGCAGCTGGACTCATACTGATATGGGTGGAGGGTGATTTCAAAGATTCGACATATGTGCACACTAGTGGACACATGCGGGAATGGCATGAGAGCGTTCACGATGGCGACTGGGAGGCATTGCTGGAGCTCCTGCGGTCGCAGGTGATGTCGAAGATTTGGCAAATGTGCAACCTGGTGAACAAGTGCAGGATAGGCACAAGAGCATTCGTGATGGCAACTGGATGGAGTCGCTGGATCTCCTGCGGTGGCCCTAAGGCCGGAGTGGCGCTTTGCTGCGAGGGCCTTCAGTGCTGCTTGCAGCTTTAATATCTTGTGATTCTTGTGTATGTTCCTTTGACTGAAACTGGCACAATAATTTAATTTCCTGCGGGATCAATAAAAGTTCTATCTTTTATGCAGGGCTATTTTTGTCATATCCAACATTCTGACCTAAAAGGAAGGTCAGGCTTTTTTCCAGTTAACATGAAATATGGAGTCTGCCCCACACATCTGTTGTAACATCTATTAGAGATAACAGCAGCAGTCTGAACTGCAAATGTCCACAACTCTTAGGCAGTTTACTCTCATTTCGCATACATCTAACCATTTCAAACACAGTTCTCCAGGTTCTTTCAGCTGTCCCAGTCTGATAGGGAGAATAAGGTGCTGAAGTTTCATGTGTAATACATTTTTACTGAGCAGTGAATGAAACTCATTACATGTAAACTCAGTTTCATTATCTGATCTTATACATTTGACTTTTCCATAAACATCAGCAATGAACTTCTCTGTACCTTTAGCAGTATCACTCTTAGCTTTTATGAAATAGGTAAAGATGACTCCTGAATAATAATCTGTAAAAGCTAAGGTATATCTAAAACCATCTTTAGCTGCTGCTTCTATAGGTCCAGCCAAATCTGCATGTACAAGGTCAAGTACACCTTTAGCCTTTTCATCAGGGTCTCTACTAGGGATGCACCGATCGAAAACTTAAAATTCCGATCCGATCCCGATGCCTAGAACTGAGTATCGGCCGATACCGATCCAGTTCCGATATCATGATAATCATTGATTTTATACGAGGCTGTAATAATCTCCTCTCAAGTACAATTTGTACAAATATATTCATGCATGTCCAAAAAGGCAACTTGAGGTAAGTTTTATTAATGTTGGATAAGTTTTAAAGTTAGAATTAAATCCTGCTAACACAAAACATGTTTCTTTTTATTCCTAGTTTTAAAGTGGATATTAAAGTGATTAATTTAAGTGATTGTTTAAAGTTGTTTTATATTTTATAAGGGGCAGATCTAAGAAATATTTTCTTCTTTCTGAACTTTTTTCATTCAATTTTCTTTTTGATGATTTTTTTTTTAAATTTTGTTTCTTTTAAATGAATAAATGAATTAAATTAAATAAAATGTTAAATGTCTTCAAACATCTGCTAAGTTCATGACATAAACCAACAGACATGTTCCTGTTTTTAGTATTTTACATCACTTTATAATGTAGCTGTTTATGTTTTTAATATAATTTTCAAATCATATGTTTATGATTGTCTACTGTTGTACTGATAAATATCTCCTGGAGGGTAAACTAGATCTTGACTGCAAGTATCAAACTGTGAAATCCTTTGTTTTCTACAACTGATAGTGGTCGGTCATTAATGATGAAGTTTATCAACTTCTCTGTAAACATGAGAGCTCCGTGGTTTGAGCGACGTCTTCTTCTTGTTCAGTCCGAAGCAGGCAGTCTGATCTGGGTCAGCTGCTCTCAGTCTGTCCCTCCTCAGAGACGGGCAGACTGAGGGACAGAGTGGACGCTGCTGGCCGGGGTCGAGTCGCCTCTTTCCTGTTGAGCAAAGAGCAGCGCCCCGCTGAATCCCCGGAGCTCAAATGTCCATCGTAAAACTAACTTTACCGTGGTTTAATGTGACGCTGTGGCTCTGCAGACAGTGCACGATGCTGTCTTGTGGTGTTTAGTGTAAAATACTTCCACACAGCGACATGTTTAGATGAAAAGTTTGTTAGCTGTTAGCCACAGTGCTGCTAACTCAGTCCTCACGTTGTAGCTGCTGCAAACTATGAACTGGATTTCCTGAATGTGAGGCGGGTCTTATTACTCTGGGTTCATGAGACACGCCTCCGTTCAGGAAATCCAGTCCATAGTTTGAAGCCAACGTGCATCACGGATCGAAAATATCGGCAGGAGGATCAGAAAATCCGATACGTAAATTATGCTGGTATCGGAGGCCGATACTGATACTGGATCGGATCTGCCCCATCCCTAGTCTCTACTCATGCTCTGAGTAAATTTACCCTGTATGCACACTTCACATGTCAGATCAGACTTCTCAGTTTCCCCTTTAATTCTCATTACTTCTGTAACACTCCAACACATCATTTTGATTACAGTGGCCTTAAATTTCGTGCCATGTTTGAATGTTATAACATGCATTACATTCATCCACCTCATCTGTAACTGTATTTAAATAGAACAGTGTCATAAATATGAATATCAAAAGCCGTACCATTTTTGTGGATGAGCCGGTTCTGTCCATCTTTAAAGATGACTGTCGCTTCTTGGACAATAGCAGCTTAGACTGAAAAGATGTCCGTAAAAATGATGGCACATATAGTACGTTCATCAGCATCATTTCCACATTTCGGCTCTTGCTGTCTCTCAGGTGAAACCTGGCAGTGCCCTTCTTCAGTGCAATATGCCGCTGGCCCTCTCTCCATCGGTCAACTCCAAAACATGGCTGAGGCTTAAAACTCATCAAAATCCTTGAATTTAATTATGTCTGTCACAATGTGCTTCATTGCACCCTAGTCGATGATTAGGCCCTTCACCTTCACTCGAAAAATTCACTTCACTCCAAACAAGCCAAGATGGCCGCGCTCAGAGCAGTTGCAGCTTCACAGGCTCCCTGTGCAATCCCAGTTTTCATCCAGTCATTCGTTCAACCTTTAAAACAGATAAGTCACATTGAGCCTCGAAGACTCATTTACAAGTGAGACCTGTTTGGACAGACAATAGCTACTAATACGCCAAACTTTTAGTTTTCTAGATTTGCCTTAGAATCTAGCTGTTTTTTGTTACTTTTCTTTCTTTTTACTTTTCTTTTTTTTTAGCCATCCTATTGTTAAAAAAAATAAAATAATGACTTTTTATAACTGTTTATTGTTGTCGCTGTTCATTGTTGTCATTATTCTTTGTTGAAATCAGGTCTCTTATAAATGAGTCCTCGAGGCTCAATGGGATTAACCTGTAGAAATAAAGGTTGAATGAATGAAAAATTGAACTGAGAGTGACCGCTGGCCTGGAGATGAGTGTAGACCGCAGAGTCCTGGCCTGATGTTGTTGACCTTTCAGGGATGAAGATGTTCACATCCTGGACAGAGAGGAACGATGGTTTGAGAGAGGAGTAAAGGAGGCCATCTTTGTGAAAAGAAACCGTCCATCATTAAACAGGGGTGGAGCCTCCAGGTTCAACTGTCCCCCTCTTACAATGCTGTGATTGCTAGTATCACTCAGCCCTCTGTGAACAGTAAACAGCCATCAGGTGCTAATGATCCATTGTTAGGCTGATGGTCCTTCTTGATCATGTGATCAGCTGGTTCTGGTTGTCAGCAGCAAAACTGGTTGATCCACTCTGAGAAGGTGCTATTTAAGAGACTGAGCTGAATACAGCACCTCAGACTGAGGAAGTCCTCAGGATGAGAGACGAAACGTTTCTATATTTTTTTGTTTTGTTTTTTGTTTTTTTGAATGTCCAGAGGACCAGATTGAACTTTTTTGGATTTTTCTACCTGGATTATTGAGCATGCATCAGGATATTTTGAATCACGTTGGTTACGTACTATAACCCCAGATTCTATGAGTATAGACGTAGCCCTTTAAGCGTCGGGCCTCACTGGCTCCTAAATGGCTGAAGAAAAAGCTATTTGGGAGCCGATTACCCGCTCTTAACGTAATTTATACGGACCGGGTGGGGCCCACACAGCAGGTGGGCGTGGACCAAAATTTTCAGTGTAATGCTTGCATGACAGGATGGAACCCACTAAGCTACAGCTCTTAAAGGGCTACGCCTATACTCATAGAATCTGGGGTTACAGTAGTAACCAACGTCTCGAACAGAAACTACTTGGGGGCGTGGTGTCCAAGTGACGCATGCGCATTACTGATTGTTGAAGGTCTCTTTAAGAGTGATAAGTCAGCCAGCCTCCTACCATCACTGGGGAAAAATACTCCATTAAATAGGGTATGGAATACTATTAAAAAAATGTCTGGGAACTCAAGAGACTATTATTTCCCAATAATTAAGGATAATGGAAATATTATAATAGATAATAAAAGTAAATCTGAAGCATTAGCTAAAGTATTTGCAAAAATACATAGTACGGAGAATCTGAATAATAATGAAAAAAGAGGACGTGAAATAACATTAAGGAGGAATATTGAGTTGCTTGATAATGATGAAGATAATGAGGATGCTATTAATATGAAATTTTCTTTAATAGAACTAAATAAAGCATTGAAGAATTCCAAAAAATCAACTCCGGGCAAAGATCAAATTAATTATTGCATGCTGAATAATCTTAGTGATGTGAGTAAGGAAATATTATTAGAATTATATAATAAGGTGTGGGAGGAAGGAAAACTACCAAACAAATGGAAAGAAGCCATTATTGTCCCTATTTGTAAACCTGGGAAGGATGTAAATTTAGCAGAAAGTTATAGACCAATTGCTCTAACTTCATGTGTAGGTAAAGTTATGGAGAAAATGATAAATAACAGACTAAATTATTTTTTAGAATCTAAGGAGAAAATAAAGGTATATCAATTTGGATTTAGGAAAGGGCGAAGTACGATAGATCCAGCAGTATGTCTGGAACATGAAATTAGACGGGCCCAGGCTAACAGGGAAAGTGTGATTGCAGTTTTTCTGGATGTGGAGAAAGCATATGACATGTTGTGGAGGGAAGGGTTATTGATTAAAATAAAACAAATGGGTTTAAAAGGTAAAATAGTTAGATGGATACAAAATTTTTTAACTGAAAGAAGTATCAGTGTAAAAATAAACGGTGAAATAAGTTCAAATTATCAAATGGAAAATGGTACTCCCCAAGGCAGTATAATTAGTCCAATATTATTTAGTATAATGATTAATGATATTTTTAGGAATGTAGATAAATCTTGTGGCGTCTCATTATATGCAGATGATGGGGTTATTTGGAAAAGGAGCAAGAATACAGCATTTATTGAAAGGAAAGTACAAGAGGCATTAAATAATGTAGAAAAGTGGGCATTAGAATGGGGATTCAGATTTTCAACATCCAAATCAAAATTTGTTGTTTTTACAAATAAAAAATTAAATCCTAATATCAGTCTCAAACTGTATGGGGACAACATCGAAAGAATAGATCAATTCAAATATCTAGGCATCTGGTTTGATAAAAAACTTACATGGAAAATACACATAGATAATATTGTAGGAAAGAGCAAAAAAGTTCTAAATATAATTAGATGTTTGAGAGGTAAAGAATGGGGTGCAGATAGGAAAGCATTAAAAACAATATACGTTGGGTTAATAAGGTCAATTTTGGACTATGGAAGTATTTTATATAATTCAGCTTCAAACACATTACTAAAACAAATAGACAGAATACAATATCAAGCTTTAAGGCTTTGTTGTGGAGCTATGAAAACTACCCCAGTCTCAGCTCTGCAGGTTGAGATGGGGGAAATGCCACTAGAATTTAGAAGAACACAAATAGCCGTAACTTACTGGGCCAATATTAAAGGGCATAAAGAAACTCATCCTCCACTAAACACTCTTCAACCGTGTCAAGAAAAAGAAAAGAAACAATTTAACAGTTTTGGATGGAAAATCATAGATAAAACTGAAAATGTCAGAATAAATAATTTTCAAATTAGTCCTGCGGTTGCTCTTCCTACTGTCCCACCATGGATCACTAGACAGATCACCACTGACCTAAGCTTATTGAAACGAGGGAGAGAAGTAGATAGTACTACAGTGGAGAGATACATAGACAGGGAATATTCACAATATATTCAAATCTATACAGATGCATCTAAAATGATAAATAATAAAGTTGGTGTAGCTTTTGTAATACCAGATTTAAATATTATGAAAAATAAAAGAATACCTGATAAACTAACAGTATATACAGGAGAATTAGTGGCAATCTGTATGGCTTTAGAGTGGGTCGAAGACAGTGGAGGAAAAAAGGTCATTATTTGCTCAGATTCAAGTAGCGCAATAATAAGTATTCAGGAGGCACAATCAAACTCAAGGCAAGATATTATATTAGAAATAACTCAATTAATTTTCAGGATTAAAAGTAATGGGTCTGATGTCAAATTATTATGGATTCCAGCTCACATTGGGATTGTAGGAAATGAATTGGCGGACAAATTTGCTAAGAATGCTGCAAAAAAAACCAACGTGGATTTAAATATTAAAATAAGTAAAAGTGAGGTCAAGAATATAATAAAACTATATTGTAAAAATAAATGGCAAGAGCAATGGGATAGAGAAAGTAGTGCTAGGTATTATTATAGCATCCAGAAAACAGTTGGGGACTCAAGGAAAGGTAATAGAATAAAGAAAGAAGAAGATATAATATCGAGGATGAGATTTGGGCACACGGGATTAAACAGCACACTGAAAATAATTAACAAACATGATACAGGTTGTTGTAATCACTGTGGACAAACAGAAACAATAGAACACATTTTCATGGAATGCAATAAATATACACACGAAAGAGAAATGTTAAAAAGAGAATTAAATACAACTAAATTAGAGATAAAGGAATTGCTGCAAAGATCGTCTGGGGATATAAGTTTTAACAGCATCTTTAGGTTTTTGAGAAGAACAGGGAATTTGGAAAGGATTTAGTTTTTTTTTTTTTTTAAGAATCTTGTCCATACTCCAATCCAGAAGGTGGCGGTAATGCACCTTAAGCTGTTTGCCAACCGCCATAAAAAGACAAGAAGAAGAAGAAGAAGAAGAAGAAGAAGAAGAAGAAGAAGAAGAAGCCTCCTACCACCTGCTGCTTTCCGACAAGATGGCTGTCGTTCCTGAGTGCAGAATCCTCACGTTCAGCGTTTTTAAATGGAGCTCGTACTCCTCTACGTATTTACCTGAGTGAGTACCGTACACATTAGCTGAGCCGATGTTCGCGTTAGTGTCAGGCGACTATAGGCCCATGTTGTCCTCCGTGTATTGTCCAGACGGCCGGACTGGCCTACATCGTCTGGGATGCTAGCCTGCTAGCACTAGCTAAGTATCCGACGTTGACAGTAGTTAGGAAAACGTAGTTGACAGTAGTTAGGAAAACGTAGTTGACAGTAGTTAGGAAAACGTAGTTGACAGTAGTTAGGAAAACGTAGTTGACAGTAGTTAGGAAAATGTAGCTTCCCCAAAGCCTTTTGAGGTGAATTGTATGAGGTAAACAACAATAGATGAAGACAACGTAATGTCAACTTGAATCTGAGCCCAGTAGTTGAGCTGTAAACATTCTTAACGTAAACAAAATCAAAACATAAGACTTGTATTATCAAATTATATTACTTTGAACCATTTGGAACTCATAATTGTATTGTTAATAATATATATATATATATATATATACACATAAACATTGTGGTGCTGTAGTTTGTGGAAATAGGTCTTTGCATATTTCGAGCTGATATCGGTGACTGGTGTATATAGTTAGTTTTCTCAGCTGTAATGAACCTGTTTATATCTCACTAAAACTTATGTGAAATAAAAGTTAAGACTGTGGTTCACTTTTACCATGTAGAGCCATTTTATATCAGTAAAGTCACTTCTATGAAAGCAGTAGTTTGTTGCTTAGCAAGGAAGCTAACAGTATGCTAGCTGCTGCTAACCGAAGCATGTTGCACTTTTTTAGATTTTTCTACCTGGATGCATGAAAACATGTTGCACAGTTTGACTCCAAAAGCACTTTCATTCTACATTATTAATAGTTTGTCAAATTCTTGAAGTCAGACTGTCTGGACGAGCTAATGTTCTCCTCAGGATGAACTAACCTTTCTCCACTTCTGTTTATTAGGAACATCTTGGTGGACAAACCTAACGACCAGTCTTCTAGGTGGTCTTCTGAGAGCAACTACCCTCCACAGGTAGGCCGATGAAACAGGTTGTTTTATGTAGGCTGATGACCCAGGCTTTTATGCCCCTTTTCCACCGCTCCTACTCTGCCCTACTCTGCCCTGCTCAGATCAGATCTTTACACGGTGCATTTCCACCGCACGTCAGGACCGGTACTGGAGACGTGTCCAAGATCCTGCTAATGAACTTTTATGAACTTTAGTTCACCATTAAGAGTGAGAGTTCAGCGATGAGTTAAACTCAGAGCAGTCTTCTCCTCAGATAAATAGTTAAATTAATATTTTTAAATATGAATGTTTCTGCTAAATTATTTTATATATTTACATATGAACATTTCTGCTTAGTATCCTGAGACAACTTCTGTTGTGACTTGTTGCTATATAAACTGAATTATTTTTATATATTTGAAATTCTATATTTTTCTTCATCATTTCATGTATTTGCACTAATTGTGTCTACTTTTATTGTTCTATTTAGATATATGGTTTTGTTTTTTGTATACAGATTATTTTATTTTAGTGATTTAAAGTGTAATTCTTGTTTTGTGGTTTGTACGTCTGTGGGTTAAAATAAAGTTGAACTAAAGGCCGCATCTCTTCTTTAAACATGTTTGAGGGAAATATTCCTGAGAGATCCAAGAATTTTTTTCAGATTTTTCAGCTGAGTTAACTTTAATTAACAGATTTAATAAAGTCAAAGTGAAAACAAGATTTCATGATGAAGCCGGCACCGTTTATTTATTTTTAATCTTCACTGAGAAAAAAAAACGTCATTTTTTATACAAAAAATGGTTTAAAAAAAAGTTTCCACCCTCCGTCCCAGTCCTCTTGTCTGCCAGGGCTTGGAATCCACAGGTCGGCAACTCGTATGATCCTCCACGGTGATTAGCTCGCTCTGAGTTTTGTTGTCTGTCACCAAGCACAAAAAAATGTCTGCACTTGAGCATTAAACACGGTGTTGTCATTATTACCATTACCATCTAATCACAAACAGAACTGGTTTGTTCCACTTTGGAGTAAGCTGTTGGGGGAAGAATCAGTTTTGTTGTGTGTTTCCTTGACTGATGAAGCCTTCTGGATCGAAGGCAAAATGTTTCAGCACAAAAGAAGAAACTGTCCAGATGACCTGACTGAAAAATGTTGGATTTTATACCTGAATTATTGAGCATGGACTTTGTTGTTGTCATTATTGTTTCAAAAATCTTAAAAGTTAGTCCAGCCGCTGCTCTGAGTTCCGAGTAATTACAAATGGCGAATCAGTGAAGAGTTTCTGAGTCCGGTGACTCCTCCCTCTGACTAATCAGTGACCGACAGTGTTCTGATGTCACGTTTAGGTGCCGACTCAGCTCGAACGCTCCCACAAGAGAAGCGGGGACAAGAAAAAGGGGAAGAATCAGCCTCAAATCAGCTAAAAAGTATTAGTGGAATAGCGCTCAAAATGTGGCTAGTTGGGGCTCAATAGGAGTGGTGAGAAAAGGGGCAATTAGTGTGACGTCGTTTGATGAAACAGGCTATATTTGTATGTAGTTTGATGAAACAGGCTATTTGACGTAGGCGGATAAAACGGGCTGTTAATGTGATGTAGGCTGATAACCCAGGCTGTTAGTTTAATGTAGGCTGATGAAACAGGCTGTTAGTTTAATGTAGACTGATGAAACAGGCTG